AGACTATATAATTAAAGTTGCCGGCCATGCACAGGGTAGAACCTGTACAAAAATCTTCCTTCAATTTTGTGCATCCTGTGGTTCATGTGCTGTGAATATTTGTTTTGTTAACAATATTTAAAGACTAACCCTACCCACTATGTTATCCCACACCCTCTAAAAAGATATATGATGGAGGGGGAAATTATTGAAAGACACAAATGTTGTGCAATCCGGATGACAAGGACGTTCTTGATCCCAATGTCTGGAGAGGTCTTCCTCCTCCCACCCCTCTCTGACTGTAACTGCCAGCCAATGGGCCATCTACCTTTTTCAGCAGTACCCTTGGTAATATGTTCTTTAAGGGGGAATCTAGGCATTTTTTTGCCAAGTCTCCATGCATTTTGATGTCTTCGTTTGCCACAAATTTGTGAGTGATAAACCTACCTGGACACCCGTTGGTCTTCTTATATTCTATTATCCTAGAGGTTATTGACAAACAGAAGAATTAATCAAAAGATATAAAACTATTTGCTGCATATCTTTAAAGTCTGATTTTCTTTAATATATTTCCTTTGGCTTTAAATCAATATTGTATCCATAAACTGCCATTTATGATAGCTTCTTGCCTTGTTTATGTCACAGATTCTATGTCTGTATGGAATCTTCTTCGAGAGTTTCGAATTAGAAAGGTTCACATGGCCATTGTCCTTAACGAATATGGAGGAACTGTAGGGGTAGGTGATTTCGTCCTTTGTGGTCAACTAGTTTGGAGTTGTTTTTGTACTTTCAGTCTGCCACACAATAATGAATATGAGTATTTCTTATCTTGATCTAATTGTGGTCATTTGTTCAATTTGAAAAATGGGATAAATTTGAAGACTAAAGTGTCTTATACAGCTCTAAACTGACCTGCACAAAGTTAGTTTTGGTTGCTTTTTAATTCTCTTTCCTCTTTGTCCTTCTTTTTCCCTCTTTAACTTATATTGTGCTTTAATTGGCCTCATCTGATTGTACATTGTCCATGAAACAGCTAGTGACTTTAGAAGATGTTGTTGAAGAAATTGTCGGTGAAATCTTTGATGAGAATGATTCAAAGGTAAGACATCTTTTTTCAGTAGTCCTTGCAATCCTCAACTGACTTCCAATTGATAAGATGTAGTGGTTGTGTTTCGTCTGCTTAGAAACATATAATTGCACTAGAGGAGTTGTAGGAGGATTTTGGATATCTTAATTTAGAAAAGTGGGGTTTCAGGATGGTTCATTCTGTTTAATATATTACCCTTTTATTCAATAATTTCATACTTCCTCTGTTTTTTTTTAAGATGTTCGACATATGAAAGTTTCAATTTAGATGCATCACTTTCCTTTTTAGTAAGTAAATTCTCTCAATCTCTCATATCACATGGGTCCTCTTTTTCTCTCTCTATCTCTCTCATCTCTAAAAGTTGCCTAGGAGTCCGTGATTGTAAAAGTAATAGATCTAAAAAATAAGGAGGAAGTATTTTGCTTATCAGAAGCTATTTCCTCGTGGACCATTCTCTTCAATGGACCCAAAGAGCATCTGAAAAGCAGTTTCATGTTAAATAGCTTTAGGTTGGAGATGGAGCAGTGGTTTCCGAGCAAGATGGTTGCAAGACTATTATCTCATTGCGAACATAGTAGCAATCAGCCCAAATTAGGTGTAGACCAAAATCGTGTAATTTGGAAATAAAGGTTAATTGTTTAAACTTTATTTGTTTAAGGTGGCTAATTTATACATTTTCAAAGTAATATCTGTGATCTGATGAACTTGCACTTCGCTTTCTTAGGGCCTCAGGAGTCAGGACTTGGGATAACATGGAAAATTAATTTTTTTTTTCTTTTGATTTGTTGTGGGTGTGTGTGTGTGGGGGGGGGGGGGTAAAGGAGGTGAATCAAGCATAAGGTCATAAATTTCATTGTAGGAATTGGGAAGTTCTATAGTATTTCCTGTGAAAATTTGGAAGTGGATTTTTCTTGTAAGATCAGAAATGGGATTTTATTTTTGGAGGTTATAATGTTATATATTTGGAAGCTTGAAGTGGCACTTGCCTATTTTTGCTGTCATGGACAATGTTATGCATATTTGTACGAGGGCATGAATTGCATGATGGATTATATTGTAGACTTCTGTTTTTAAAAATGCTTATCATTTCCATGGGGTTTCTTCTATAAAATTCTAGTAACATCTAATATTATGGGCTTTTGTTGTTATTGGGAAGGGAGTTGCTGTTATGAGAACATGAGCATGTGTGCTTGCTTTCGCTAGCCATCAAATGAAGAAAAGCCATTACTCAGGCTCAATACCGAACTCTGAAGTTTAGTCCCATGCCCTTGATTAATGTTTGCATGTGCAGATTTTAGTGGGAAAACCTAATAGCTTGTTTGGTGCTTCTAGAGGCTGAAAGCAAGGATATTTCTTTTCCCATTAAATTGATGGACTTGAGTACAAGTAATATGAAGGGTGATGAAGATTCTATTGAAGAGGCTGTTTGTTCTCTATGTTACAAATTGTGCTCATACATTTAGTTGCCCATGTCACGTGCATGAGTCTAGTCTCTAATATTTGTAGGAATTAATATTAAGTTTAAAAGCTTGGTTGTGGTTTTTTCTTCAGCGGCCTGTCTTGTCTGTAAACGTTCTCTTTTTAAGAGGTATAGGTATCATATAGCTCACAAGTTGGTACAATGTCAGCTTTGTAAATTATGGAGAGGAATTTTTGTGCTGAAATATGCCATATTTTTAGTTTCTTGATGTTTGAGTAAATGGCAATACTTAATATTCTGCTGAGAGCCTTCTGTCACAAAAAGAAAAGAATACTGCTGGTCTACAATATAATGAATTTTTTTTTTTTTTTCTTGAATGAGCAAATATCATGCCAACATGTCCAGAGTTATGTTTGTGTATTCTTTTCAAAGTTGTTTGTCCTGTTATAGGAGGAGATTCAGAAGAAAACGGGCTACATTGTTATGCGAGCGGATGGGATTTATGATGTGGATGCTAATACTACAATTGATCAACTTTCCGAAGAGTTGAGCATTAAGATGCCCGAGGTTCTGTGCCCTGCCCTGCTGTTTTCTAACCTTTGTTTCCCACTTTCCCTGGTTTTTATTTCGTGTTTCACTCTTGATTTACTGGGTTGTTGTGTTTTGTAGCAGGATCACCAATACGAGACAGTTTCTGGTTTTATCTGTGAAGCATTTGGATATATCCCAAGAACAGGTGAGAGTATGAAGGTGGTTCTTGAGAGGGATAATCAAGAAGAGGATGACAAATACGAGGAAGATGAATCAGAACGTCGAGAAAAAAAGGAAAAGTCACAAATTTTTAAGCTTGAGGTATGTAATAGATGCTTTATGAAGTACTTTTGCCAATTTGCCACATATTATACAAATTACCTTGTTACTTTTCTAGTGAGTTGCTACTTGCTGAATTAGGTTCATATCATGCTAGAATGACTTCATTCTATATTATCCTGTGCTCTTTGTGACCTTTAAGTAAATTTGAGAATGGTGAAATCTGCCATGATGATAAAGTGGAACTTTATTGCTGTGAATTGTTGAACGCTCGAATCCTTTTCAGTTGTTTCATACAGTGTCGACAAAGTTACCCAATGCCTCTAAAGAAGCTCCCACCTTCACATAAGAGGGTTGGAAACCTAAATGAGTGCAGCTTTATTTTTACAGTAACCGGGAGTGTTTCTGAATGACCTTTTCTTTCTTTTACTTCATCATGAAAAAGTACTGGGATAATTTAACAAGCTATTTTGATCTAGTCCATTAAAACTCATAAGTCAGATAACGATGAGTATTTTACTCTACTAGAAAAATTGTCTAATGTTTTAGTGATTACAGATCTTTTAGATGAGTGTAAATTAGAGTTAATGAATCTACAAATGAGGTGTAGTTAAATAAGAGGTAAACCTGTTGCTTAGCTTTGTAAGAACTCTTGTGGAAATACCAAATCCCTTAAGTGGTTTACCTTGTGTAGATACTAGCTGGGAATGCAAGAAAGGTTAGTGCTGTTCGGTTTGAAAGGGTGGAACATGGTGACATGCAAGTGGAGGCTAAAGAAGTTGCACCATTTTTTCCCAAAATCATGAAGAGGAGTCGACCGCGAGGTGAGAACTCAAATAGGTCTTACAATCATGAGGACAACTTTCAGCAGATGGTCGAAGAAAATGGCTTGGATCAATCTGTTGACAATGAGAACGGATTCGGAAAGGAAAGAGATGGCAGCAGCTCCAACAATGACTTGATTATGGATCATGTTGATAGTCATGATTAGCCGGGCCTGGTTAGGCCTCCTACTGCTTAGTGGATTGTCTCTTGGCTAAATCAAGCCAATCTGTGGGTTGGTTCAGGCTAGGTCTGAATCAAATTTAGACCGGTTCTGGATTTGAACTTAGCTGGTCTGGTTATGATCCAGTTCTTTACAGGGAACCTAACAGATTCTGGGTAATGTTGGAGATTGCCGATTAGCCACTTTTACAGATGATTATAGATAGTAATCATTTTTTTTTTTGCACGATTTTTGTAAGTTTCAACCAGCAAATATTGTGATTTTTTACCCTATTGGAGGGGGGGTGGGAGGGGAGGGTGTCATGGTTGCTTTGGGTGTTTTAGAAGAAATAAAGCCAAAACTCAATGTGTTTTGCGCGAGTTAGGTTTGTATTCGTGTAATGTTGTATGACAATTCATTGCCACTGGATCTGCCAGTGATGCAAATATTCAATTTAAGTCAAACTAAATTACTTTTTTTTTTTTTTTTTTTTTTTTTGAAACAAACTCAAAATAAATTACTCTGTAATGTTGAATTATTGAATTTAAAAAGCGTAAATAAACATAATAATATTTCCTTGAAAAAAAAAAATTGTAAGAACATTTTAGGTATTTTAAATTATATGAATAATAATATTTTCCTATTGGAACGGTGTCACGTGACACTTTTCAACGTATATGACAAATTATAGTTTGATCTAGATGCGAACAAAAAAAGTTATACAATTACCATTTCAACCAACTTATATTAGTGTTTTAAATTTCACATAATTAACATTATATATTGCTTTCAAATTAGAGGTTATTTAATTTATTTATTCTTCACAAGATTAGAAAATAAATACATATGAGGTAAAAAAAAAAAACCGTAACATTCGAGGTAACGTCCGAATCACACTAGCTATACAAACAATTGAACATAATTATCAAATTAAAGAAGTACAAACTACAAATTAGCAATTAGGGGCATTGGTCGGGGCACACACTAGTTTAGTTATTATAACAAGTGTGGAAAAAAAAATAGAAAGTAATTATTGTGGAATTAGAAAAGCAAGATTGTTTAATGGAGTATGTCTAAATTTGATGACTAGAATATGAAAAAAAAAACGGATGAAGTATTTATTAAGTAATTTCATTTCATGGTGTTAAAAAAGAAAAAAATCAAATTCCAAAACTTTGGTTTAATGGATCTCAAAAGTCACACCCTAAATTATGAATCTAGGTGTTTTTCAAAGATTATATTAAAGTAAAAAGCCCAACAGCATTGCAATTGCAACTGTCTTTCATTCATCATTCCAAAAAATGGTGACCAAAACAGCAGCAGCAGCAAGCTATGAAGAAAAGAGGAAGAAAAGACTCGAGGAAAACAAGAAAAGGATGATGCAACTCAACATCCCTCAGCTTTCTCAGGCTCTCAAGCCTTCCCCTGCTGTTAGGCTTAAGAGGGTCAAGCCCAAACCCAAACCCAAACCCGATACACTACTCGTCAATGCCCCACTTCGTCGATCCACTCGAATGGCCGACAAACCCCCTCCTGACTACCACGAGGTCTGCTTCTGTATTTGGTTGTTGCATTTCTCTTGATTAAATATTTCTACTTCTAGTTATCTTATCCAACGCCTCGTGACGTTCGTTAGCTTTTGCGTTATTGTTGTTTTACAGTTTATACTCGTGGGTGGTAGAAGGTTGCCCCTCGGAAGAAACCTTTATTCTCAAATCAATGCCTCGACTCAGATCAGATTGTACGCTATTCAGAGAGCTCAAGAGCTGGAATTACGATTAGGGTCTCAACATCCAACTTTTGTTAAAGCATTACTTCAGGCTCATGTTGTTGGAAATTTGGTCAGTTCTTACTTCCTTTTTATCTCTCTTGCTCATGTAATTGAGTCAATTGACCCCATTCGAATGTTGTTGTTGTTGTTGTTGTTGTCGTCTCTTGGTTGGATGTCGAGACCCTAATCTACTATTATAAGAATTGTGTTATCCAAAATAAGTGCAGGTATATAAAATGTCGTGACAGTGTGTTTCAACATTCTCATTATGAACAAGCGAATTAATGTGAAATGTTAACAAACTTATTCCCTTGCAACCCTGCCATTGTTCGAATTGTTAACATGCTTATTCTCTTGCAACCTTATTATACAGAATTTACCAACTGCATTTTGCAAGACCCATCTTCTCAATTATGATGGAATGTTAACTCTAGTTGATGAAGATGGAAAGAAATGCCAGACCAAGTTCCATCTTCGATATAATGGGCTCGGCTCTGGATGGAGAGGATTTTCCATTGACCATCACTTGGTTGACGGGGATGTCCTTGTTTTCCAGCTCATCGAACCAACTACCTTAAAGGTAACTTTTGTTTCTTGTAACTACCACAATATGAATGTTACTCTCTTACCACAAACTGCTTGTTTGCCAGAGAGAAATTTTAATGCCTGGTTCATTCTATGCAGACGGGATTTGATCTTAGATCTTGAGTACTCACATCATGTTACTGTAGTTTTCCTATCATTCTAGGCCACGAGCTTATGATAGGTAAAGTCTTAGATGAGATCAAGAAGTAAGGAATCTGATAACACAGAAACAATGACAGTTTAATTTCTAACATGATTGCACCTCAATTCTTGTTTCCAACCTGTTCTCGCTCTGATATCCTAACCAAGTGTTGTGTAGAATTGTGAGTTGATGTTTGATCTTTGATACCCCTTAATCTCTTTCCCTCCGTTTCCCTATCCAAACAAGTATTGACACCACTTCCTTGATCATTAATCCTTCAAAATTCTTTTTAATGGAACATAATGTTAATTTCATGGTTGATTTACTTGTTTGAAATTATGGAGAATCCAACCTAAGAAAACATAATGTTGACTTCAAACAAGCCAATGCAGCTGCAATTCTGCGAATTTTCATGTATAACACTCGGTGTCTTTGAATCTTAAGTTAATGTTCATATCAGCTTGCTTTGATTTACTTGTTCTTAAGGTTTTCTGGTCTTTTTTGTTCTTTCTAACTGATAAAATTATATATACATTACTATTAACTTCACATCTTTTTCATAGGTGTACATTATTCGGGTAAATTCTTCTAACCAAGACAAATAGAATGGTCGTGATGAGTCGTAAAGCTGTTTGTAAGTGAAGGGGTGAGATATGTAGCACAACAAACTAGAGGTGATGCTTGCAGAATTTGGTTTTTTTTTTTCCTTCCATGTTACAGGCCTTACAGCAGCCAGATCTCCTGTGAAGCAGTATGACCAAGTGTTTTTGATGAGATTTCTTTGATCTTACCCTGAGATTTGATTTCATTATATTTATACTGTAAGGAAATTTATACAAAATTTTAATAGATCATTAGAAGGGTAACCACTTACCTTATTTTGTAACTTTTGTTCCTATTTGTTTAATAAGTTACAATAATTTGCAATTTAAATTTTGAATTCTATTAATGTTGAGTGAATAAAAAGGGAACCTTACATGTGAGGGGGAGTTTGAAGCATAACTTTCCAAATGACACATGAGTTTCTTATATTGATGAAAGAAGAGAGAGTAACAATTTATAAGGCTAAAGGACTAATCCTTTCATTGTCATATGATTTTGGACTCTCGGGGTGGTAATATAACTCTTTTAATGAACTGATCAGATAGCTTTATGGCTCCTCTTGTTACACCCTGCCCAATTTGAGGGGCTTGAATTGCTGTATGGCTGCTGGTAAATTTAATCCTTATAAAAAATGATGTTGAAGTTGATTTGTCTGATTTTGGTTTATTTTCCTGTGGTTGCAGTTTTTCAATGGTTATCCATACCATGGAGGATCATTTGAGCAATCCTATCAATGTTACCCAGCGTCGTATATTGAAAAGGTTCTGATACTTTATCCACAGATTTTTGTGTACAACTAATGGATGTTGCGGAGAGTAATTAATAAATAGCTTATCTTCTATATACTGATATGGTCTTGGAATTACTGATGAACTCTTTATTGCATTTTTTTTTTTTTTTTTTTTTAATGTAAATAGCATCTGTACCTGTACCTTTTTGGGTGTTTCTTAGTTTTGTCTGTATGATCTTAGTCACTTGGCTACTCCTGTGATGTCTCTTTGTGTTTGGTTGCATTTCTTAACTTTGTAAATAGTAATGTTTTCCACATCTACAAAAATTCATGGTTCTGCATGCCATCATTCTTTTTGTGGATGTACCTCTAATGTTCTTTTCTCTTTTGTTTCAGCCACAAATTGAAAGTGGTGATAAAAGTAAGTCAGTTCATTTGTTACGTCATTTTTATCTATTTTTTCTTTGGAAATTTGTATCGATTCTGTTTATGCTGTTGCAGTTATTATGCCTCCATCAGCCCTTGATCGTTTAGGTTAGTTACTGATATTAGTCTTTCTTGGCATTCTGAATATTGTTGTGGTCTTTTCTGTGATACTGATATTACTCTATTGTGCAGCTTCTCTTCATATTGACTACCCAATGCTTTTTGAGTTGCGAAATGATGGTGCAAATCGAGTCTCTCACTGTGGCGTTCTGGAGTTCATTGCTGAGGAAGTCACGATTTATATGCCATATTCTTGTTCCACTCAAATGAGCTCTTTATTCTTTTTAACGTGTAAATTGTCGGAATAAGTTTTTTGTTCTGATTATGTATTAGTATGGCCGTTATTTTCTGTCATAAGGGTGCTTTATGAAATTGATATTATAAATTTCTTTGAGATTGCATGAAGTTCTTTCCATAATCCCTTGGTTTTATTGAAGAGTCAAAGTGGTATAGACTATTATAGTTGCCTAGTCTTGACAAGGTGACATACATACGCATATAGTGGTATACTGGTATGTGATGCTATACTAGACCTAGGAAACAGGTCGTTTGAGTCAGGTCAATTTTGAGTCAGCAAATATTCGGGTCAGGTTAGGGTCACACTTCGAGTCAAGTTTGGGTCGGGTCAATGTTCAAGACCAGTTTTCAAGTCAATTTGGATCTGGTCAGTTCGGATTGGGTCAAGTTCGGGTTTGGTCATCAAAAATAAATTCACTTAAAAAAAAATTGTGGGAAAATTCCCTCTTATTTAAATAATAACTTTTACAATATTCAAAAAATAAAGTAAATTTCTTTAAGAAAAATTAAAAAAAAAAAGTGTAAGTACCTAAGTACTCCAATTAGAAAGCCCTAGATCAAAATTAGTAATTCACCATTTCACCCTATTCACTTAAGATATCGAGTTACTTCGGGTCGGATCGATTTGGGTAAATTAATTTGGTTTAAAATCGGATTGGATCACGTTCGGATCAACTCCTCTTCAAATCGGATATGGATCATTCAAGTCGAGTCAGGATTGCTAGATTTATGTTAGATGACTTGGAGTTTCAGACTCCTAGTTTCACCTCAATTACCCTTTGTTGGATTCTTGTATTGCCAATCTAATAATCTAATTAATATGGGTATGGACATCGTAAACTAATTGTTTGTGTGTCAATATGGCCCTCCATTTTGGGCCTCATGTTTATAATTGGATTCTCAAGTCCAATAAGCCAAACAAGTGTGTTTGGAGCCACAAGTCAGTGCAAGCAAGGCCCAAAAGACAAAAGAAAGCCTCTAAACCAGCCCATGTGCTGTGAGAGCTTGCCACGTGTCCCGAGGGTCTCGCATTATTTACTACCTATACAATTGCATAGTTCACACTTCACATGACACAATTAATTTGTCATAATGGCCACGACAAAAGAGTCATTCTAACCACATTTTTTTTGAGGAAAACGCATCCTAACCACATTTTTTTTTGAGGAAAACGCATCCTAACCACATTTAAGACATGATAACTTGTAATTGACTTATGTTTAGGGGTGAGCAAAGACCCAGGATACCCGGTACCGGACCCGGAACCGGTTAGGATCTGTCGGGTTCGGACCCGGAACTAGTCTTACTGGTTCCAGGACCGGGTCCAAAATATCGGATCCGGTTGTAACCGGTTTCGGGACCGGATCCTAAAATTTCGGACCTGGTACCCACTGGGTACCCGGTTTAAACCAATTCCGGTTCTAGGTACCCGGTCCCGGATCCAGAAAAACCGGGTACCCAGAACCGGTACTGATTTAGTTATAAAAATTTAATTTATTTTTGTAAAAAAACCCAACAGCCCATAAGGCCATTTATTCATTTTTCACGGTTTTTAGTCTTTTTACTCTAGGGTTTTCTACTTTTCCTTCCAGCCTCCATCTTCTTTGATTCTCTCTGGCTCTCCGTTCTCCTCTCTTTTCTCATCCTCTCTTTTCTCATCTTCTACTCTTCTCTGATTTTCTCGTTCTCTCCTCAAAATCTCATCCTTCCTGAGTTCCTGATTCTCTCGGTCTTCTCTGAATCTCTGCCTTCTTTGGTACCGAACGCCTTCTCCATAAGTCTTTCCTCACTTTTTTCACTTTTGGTCCGTTTGATTTTCCTTCATTTTCGCCGAATTGTGAATTCATATATACTATATTTTTTTTTTGGTTAATTGTTTGATTTTGATTCAGATTTATGAATTATTTTGGCTGAATTGCTGCGAATTGGTTTATTATTCTATTTCAATGTAATTTGAGTATGAGACATGAGTTCGTTCTTGCTTGAATTTATGATCTGCCTAACTGTTATTGCTTGCTTATGGAAAATGCGAATCACTTTTTGGTAATGGTACTTTGAATAAGACCGGGTACCCGGTTTTGGAAACGGTTCTGGGACCATTTCCAAGAAACTTGGATCCGGTATTAACCGATTTCGGGACCAGTTCTAATTCTTGAGACCCGGTCATAACCGGTTCCGGATCCGGGCATTGTAAATATGACCTGGTACCCGGTCTTGCTCACCCCTACTTATGTTACCATACTTTCCTTTCGTTTGTTGTAAACTCAGTTTAATTAATGTAATTTCAGCCGTTTTCAAAATTAAAAAAAATAAGAAAATAAAAAAATTACAAACAAATTATACGAGGTTTGGTGTGAAAATAGCAATTGAGAAATAGAAGCGTAAAGATAAACTAATAATCTGTACTTTTTAAAACAAGTTTACTCTAAACCATTATAAGGTCTGCCCTGGCTCATAATTAGACAATCGTATAAAGACTCAGCCCATTTATTTATTAGACGGATCTAACCCATTAATAACTGTGGCGGGTCATGGGTCATGGCTTTTAACAGGGATCCAAGGCGTCCAACCCATTGAATTGCTTCTATTGTTGCCGTTCTCCGTTGAATCTAGTTCTTGTATCCCCCATTGAAGCAGCTTCTGAGGTAAGTTGTTTGTACTTGTTATCATCATATCAAATATCACTAAAATTATGAGATAATTGAATCAAATATCCCTAAAATTTGGTTGCTAATGTGTTGCACAACACTTTAATGTTAGGATTGAATGAAATCAGATTCGTCCCCTGCTCCGTGGAAATGGAGAAAGGTAGCTTATGGAGGTATGCAGGCGGGTTTTGATGACAATTATACCGGTGATTCATTCCTCGAGGATATGGTGACAAATGCTAATGTTGTGAAGAGGGACTTGTGTAAGGTGATCCTTGATTCAGTGTCCATTTCCCAGTATCTTTGCACTGTCATCCTTGTGGTGTTGGTCTGGACCTACACTCTTGCCTCAACTATTAGTTTAAAATCCCTTTTGCTTCTTGATATAACTATGCTAGTTTCAGGCTTCGTAGTTCTTATTTTAACTGCCAGGATGATTTCCCTCAAACTCTTCGCCCAATATGCTCTTAACATTTTGTATTTCATAACTGGGTTGTATGCTTTGTCTCCAATTTATCACACTTTGACCAAATCCATTAGTTCAGATTCCATTTGGGCTCTAACTACTATGCTTATTGTCCTCCATCTCTTTTTGCATGACTACACTGGGTGCACTGTGAAGGATCCTGGTTCTTTGACAAATCCTACTTTAAGTAGCAATATCTCTTTGAACATGTCCATCATTGCTTCGGTTTTGATTGCTTCCCAACTCCAATCAAGGCAACTTGTTTTTGCTATTGTGCTGTTTTCCTTGCAGGTTTTCCTTTTTGCTCCTTTTGTTGCATATTGTATCAAGAGATACTCATTCTGGTTGTATCTATGGTTTTCACTGGGAGTGGTGGGTCTCACTTTGGTGCTAGTTTATAGACTGCAAGGATTTTTCTTCGGCATGCTTCTAGGATTGCTGGTTTTTATCACTTTCATCTGTCCTTATTGGCTTACCAGAATTCAAAAATACAAGTTTGAAATAAATGGCCCATGGGATGAGGCCAAGCTCTGTTTTGACATAAATGAATAGTGTGTGTGTTGGACAATCTCACACCATCATCTCTTTGGTCAGAGAATCATCAGAGAATCATCTTAATCAGAAATGAGGCTTGTAAATTTGATTATTGTGAACCGACTCTAGTCTTTTAACCTCTGCAAGTGGAAGTCATGGCTTGCCTTTTATGCTCTTTGATAAGCCAAGACTAATTGGTTCTCCTCATATATTCGACAGTCTCCTTGTCCGTCCTATACCTTGATAAAGGTTTGTGCTTAAAAACTGCTATTCAGTGGGCACTGCAGGATTTTCAGAAATTAGGAGTAGGCTTCCAGGTTGGTGCTGCAATTTGAAGGTTATTGCAGAGCAATTTGAGGAGTCCACAATTTAGCAGTGAGTTGCAGGAAGGGCTATATTAATACGTCTAACGGTTTTTGTTATAGAAAGGAAGGAATGGGGTTAATCAGTAGATATTATGAAGTTTTGATAGTGTAGTAGGTTAGTTTCATGTAACGAAATTTTGTAATGTATGGGGTGGGAAAATGTTTTCTCCCATTGTTCATGATCAGTTTTGATACAGTGTATGTAGGGCAATTTTATGTAATAAAATTATGTAAATGTATGGAGCTAAAGTTTTCTCCCATTGTTCATGATCTCTATCCTTACTTCATCTGTGTGCTGAACTCTTATAATCCTGCAGTCATTCTACCAAATTTTGTTCAAACAATGACGAAGAATAGGATCCAAAGGTAAACACCTAGGGACACGTTTGAGTCGTAGTGCATTGTTGAAGACTCTAGTGTCTAGCCCCATGGATAGATTTATGTGTATATCAAATTGTATGTTCCGCACTGTGTTCAATTCTATCCTATGTTATTAGTTGAGTTTTGATAGAGTCAGTCGTTAGTTTGGAAAGTTATGTATACTTTGGCCTTAGCCCTCTCTTGCTCAATTGTATCTTTGTATATTGGGGATAGTAGGAATATTTGAGGAGTATTTTGAACTAGGACAAATAGTACTAGCTCTTTTCCGTGTTTACACGCTGTCCCATGTCATCATTGTCAAGAATCAAGATACAAGCATCTTGCATGAGTTATTGATACTTGTTGTTGCTGCTTGGTTGGATCAAATATAACTCTTTTAATGAACTGATCAGATAGCCTTATGGCTCCTCTTGTTACACCCTGCCCAATTTGAGGGGCTTGAATTGCTGTATGGCTGCTGGTAAATTGAATCCTTATAAAAAATGATGTTGAAGTTGATTTGTGTGATTTTGGTTTATTTTCCTGTGGTTGCAGTTTTTCAATGGTTATCCATACCATGGAGGATCATTTGAGCAATCCTATCGATGTTACCCACCGTCCTTTATTGAAAAGGTTCTGATACTTTATCCACAGATTTTTGTGTACAACTAATGGATGTTGCGGAGAGTAATTAATAAATAGCTTATCTTCTATACTGATATGATCTTGGAATTACTGATGAACTCTTATTGCTTTTTTTTTTTTTTTTAATGTAAATAGCATCTGCACCTGTACCTTTTTGGGTGTTTCTTAGTTTTGTCTGTATGATCTTAGTCACTTGGCTACTCCTGTGATGTCTCTTTGTGTTTGGTTGCATTTCTTAACTTTGTAAATTGTAATGTTTTCCACATCTACAAAAATTCATGGTTCTGCATGCCATCATCCTTTTTGTGGATGTACCTCTAATGTTCTTTTCTCTTTTGTTTCAGCCACAAATAGAAAGTGGTGATAAAAGTAAGTCAGTTCATTTGTTACGTCATTTTTATTTATTTTTTCTTTGGAAATTTGTATTGATTCTGTTTATGCTGTTGCAGTTATTATGCCTCCATCAGCCCTTGATCGTTTAGGTTAGTTACTGATATTAGTCTTTCTTGGCATTCTGAATATTGTTGTGGTCTTTTCTGTGATACTGATATTACTCTATTGTGCAGCTTCTCTTCATATTGACTACCCAATGCTTTTTGAGTTGCGAAATGATGGTGCAAATCGAGTCTCTCACTGTGGTGTTCTGGAGTTCATTGCTGAAGAAGGCATGATTTATATGCCATATTGGGTATGCAGTCATGTATCCGATTTGGCTATATGCTTGATAATTCTGTTTTTATGACCGATGTAGTTTCTGATTGTTTGTTGAATAATAATTTGTCTTAGATGATGGAAAACATGCTTTTGCAAGAGGGAGACATTGTCAGGGTTAAGAGTGTGTCTCTACCTAAGGGGACGTATGTTAAACTGCAACCTCACACACAAGACTTCTTGGATATCTCCAATCCAAAGGCAATGTAAGTGAATTGTTTTATGAAATCAATGGTCATATCCAGGAGTACAAGGAACTCTATGTAGTTTGCAGATTTGAGGTTTGAGTATGTTAGTGGAATGCTAGATTGACTCATTTTAGTTTCATATACTTCTTGACTCATATTATGGCTTGCTTGGATCCATGATCAATGTGTTGCAGTGGCTATTTTTTTCATATCACAAGTTGATCATCTACCATTTTTGGAGTCTAGACATCCATTCTCTGCATCTTTTATAATGGTGTGTGGCTAGGTAAATATACTTAAGTTTTTCTTACCATTGTATTTATCCCCTTGTGCAGTTTGGAGACTACTTTGAGAAATTATTCCTGCTTGACTTCTGGTGACAGCATCATGGTGGCATATAATAATCAGAAGTATTACATTGATATTATTGAAACAAAGCCCTCTCATGCAATTAGTATTATCGAGACAGATCGACTGTGGGGTGGACTTTGCCCCTCCTCTTGATTATAAAGAGCCTGAAAGACCTGCAGTATCTGCTCCTGGCAAGGCACCAGCTCAAGGTTTGCATTATCACTTTACTCTCTTTGCGTTTGATGGAAAATGGGGCTTATTTGGTTGAATGCTTGTTTATATGCTTATCGTTTCTTCCTACAATTTATATGTTCAGTTTTTATATAGTTGCTATTAACTAGGCTGCCAAGAGTTTTCCCTGATATTGGAGGTTATATGGAGCCTCTCTTAAACCCTTGATTACTTGGTTAAGTATCTCCATATTTCCGTAAATTTTGTTGAGTTTCGGACTTAATTTCTAGTTGAAGTTATAATATACCTAGAGATCTTATTGTGCCTCTATTATTGTTGGGTTCTTCTTTCTTTCTTAGTGGGAATTATAGCTTTATGACTGCTGCATGGAGTAATTAAATGTAATGCACATGACTTTTTCTTTTGTACTCAATCGAAGAAAGGACTTTGTGCAAGCTTTTTTATTTTATTTATATTTACTGGGATGGGGTAATAAACTTTGTAGTATTACTGCATTCTAATATCTGATGTATGGGTGAATCCTTCTCTTTTCCTTAAACAGGTATCAAATTGTTCTAGGAGTTTTACCCACTAATTTGAAAGGCATAAATTAATAAAGTTATTAGCCTATGGTAGGAGCTACTTGATGAGAATCATGAGACTGCAGTAATGCCATTGAAGCAAATATTTTGTATCAATCCTCCTTGGTCAACATAATGTGAACGCGCTTGTCTTTTTAAAATTTTCCAAATAACCATGATCCTGTAGTTAATCTATACTAGTAGTTGTCTTCTTGAGTGTCTTTGAAAAAGTTATAGTTTGAACGAATTTGGTAGGAACCATTTATGGCCAAAATGTTAGGATTTACTTGGGTTACTAAAGCCTTTAAAATTTAGTAGGATGGGAAAAACTTGTCAACAATTATTTATTCAATGCACTGAACTTCTCAACTTGATGCTTAATAAATAAAGGAGATTTTTCTTGGAGAAAATCATCAGAAATGACAAATTGAATATGCTGAATGAACCTTGTAAAGTTCTTACAGTGGCATTAATTGCTTTACGTAACAGCAAGTTTTGTTCCTCGAAGAAAATAATTGTTTATGGCTTGCGGGGTGAAATTTATACTGTGGAATTTCAGTAGAATTACTTGGGAATGGGATCATGTCAATTTGGTAGACTTGTGCAACAGATGTTTGGATAAGTAAATGCTAAATGTTGGCATTGGTGCAGATGAAGAACCTCCAGCTGAAGAGCCAAAATTTAACCCCTTTACTGGTGTTGGAAGGCGCTTGGATGGTAAACATGCACAGCTGGCACCTTCCCCTGCTTCTACCTCGGTATCCAAAGATAAGCAGCCTGCCCTTGCCTCTAGCGCTGGGAAGTCTGCAGCAGGGTCTAGCTCCCAGAGCACCAATCGCCAATCACAAGGAAAGCTTGTTTTTGGTTCCAACGCAAATCGCCCTACTAAGGAGGCACCAAAGGTACTGTTATATATTACCCTTCCCCCCTGTGTTAAGCCTTTATTTTATTTTCTCCCCCGCTAATTTTGTTCTGTGAAGTCTTTGATCAAATGATTCACATCAATTATTTACCAAATGTTGCAAGATTTATATAGGAACCTGTTAAAGAAAAGAAACCAGAGGAGCCTCAAAAAGAAGAGCCAAAGTTCCAGCCTTTTCAAGGAAAGAAGTATTCACTGAGGGGTTGATCTACTGGTATATTTATGTCACTTTACGGTTCACTGTCGCAGTGTTGATTCGGTTGAAAACACAAAAATTGAACACTTTGGTTCAAAACGTTAGAATAGGTTCTTGATTTTGAGTTGGACCAAAAAACTAGTTACCTGTTATATAAGTTAGACTTTTGGTCCATTTGCCCAAATTTTCACCAGTCTACACGAAACGAAATTGCTCTAAATGTTTCCCTTTAAAATTTAAAGATCCGATTCTGTGATTTCTGTATATTGCTTTTGTACCAAGGTTTTTATCTTCAACTCACATAGTTTCATTTATGGGTTGCTTGGTACTCCGTATGTTTCATTTCTTGCTCTCATGTCAGTTGTTTATTCCTCACAGTTTTTTTGTTTTTTTTTTTTTCTTTTTTGGGAATTAACTTGACATTGAGAGTTGTATACTTGTATATACGTAAAGCCATTGCATAGAATTTCCATACCAATAGAGGCTTCTATGTACTAAGCACTTCCTCCGTTTTCTTTTGTTCTTCCTATTAACCGGCCAGAGTTATCGAATCAGGACACAGTTCAGGTCTCAGGAACAAAGAGTCAGCCTAAACATAGTCCAAATCAGGGTAGCTAGTATGTTAGTGATTCGGGTCCTAGTTGATAAACAGTAATGCATAAAAATAACCTCACTTTAAGCAGTAACAGAAGTATGAGAAACATTTGTAGTTGTGTATAGTTAGAATTGTGAATATAATGCAGAAATTGGAAGAATTCCTATACTGAGTAGCAAAATGCAATTTTGTTTTCTTCTCAGTTTACTCACAAAAGATGTTTGCCTCAAATGCACATTTCTCATTAACTCTGCTCGGACACACCACTAAGCCATTGTACAAGTATTCATTAATCTACAACAAGGCGAGAAACAAAACAGAAACCCAGTTCTCTGTCTACTACACAATTGAAACAGAGATCTTCATGGTTCTTGCATGTTCGCCCAAAAAAAATCTAAAGAATGACCAGTTTCTCAAGCAATTTTCTGCACTTATGATGATAAGACAGCTTTCAGAGCATCCTTTATGTAGGCATACTTGAAAGAGAATCCTAATTCCTTGGCTCTTGTAGGAAGCACCTTCTGCCTTTCCAAAACCTGCGAGGGGC